CTGCTGATCAGGCTTTGAGTGCACACAGGAATTAATTGAACAACACATAAAGAGCATCATGTAGACCCCATAGATTTATTTTTATTAACCTCTTCTAGGTACATGCAGTGGATTGGCTAGTATGTGACAAATTTTAAAATCGTTTACATGTACATGTATGTGAAGTGCCTTTTGTCAAAAAGGTGGCAGTTGTCAAACTTGAACACTATGCCTTTAAAAGGGCTATTCAAATTTTATAATTAGTATTCATTATTCAAACTGCACTTGACTGAATACTTGAATATTCAAAAGTCACTGATCAAGTTTTACACGCCCCAGCTGCATCTGCCTTCCTCACTGATTATGCTGATGGGGGCTAATGCTGTGCCAAATATTCAGTCATTCGGATATTTGACCAATAATATGTTGATGCTATAATATTTGTTCTCTGACTTCCCCAAACCAGGTTGACTGTTGGTAGTAGACTGCCAAACATATCCTGTCATGTACCAATCATATCCACGCATTAAGGATGCGATTACTCCATTGTTTGATGTTGTCGTCCCATTTCCCATGCTAATGTCACTCTATTCCCCCGTCATTTTTAGACTGTAGGGGGCCTATGCCATTGGGTGCCAACTCTCTCCAGCGTAGAAGTCGTCTGGGATCCAGGTCCTTGAGATGAATTCCTTCAAGCTTCATTGTCTTCAGACTCTATCAGGTTAGTTAAGAGGAAAAAAATGGCGGCTGCTTTTTGTAAAATGGTTCCATAAGATGGAGTAGATGGAATACTACTATCCATAAAATAAACATGGATGGTTTGGCTGCGATTGGATTCAAACCAGCCGGCTGACCCTGGCAAGCTCAGTTAGCAGTTCGTTTTGTTATTTAGCGCAGCACGCACAAGTATTGGAACGACGCACACGCGCGCGCGGTTGTTATAATTCGTCGGATCAGTGCGCGACGTCGCGTATAGCTGCAATTCAAAACAATTCAAAACATGATTCAGTAACTTTTGATTTGAAATTGAGATCTTAGAATGCTGTGTTTCTCGGAATGTACAGCTGAAGCTTAGCTGAAACTTCATCAGATTAGTTGCTCAGTATCCTTCATTAGATTTTGAACTCTTTTGTTGCTTCAAACGAACAAAATGCACAAATTACAAATGATGGACTGTAGCTTTAAAAACCAAGACTTAGATATTATATTCTAGTTCAGTGAATGATGCACTTGGAAGCTAACTTAGGTGGGTTGGAATTAAGGAATGACCAGGCTGTGGTAAGAATAAGATTAAGAATTGAGGCTAGTGCATCTTTGACTAAAAAGTAGTTTTCCTTCCGGATACCTCCAAGATCACATTCCGCGAGGATGGTTTCGGCTCCTTCAACTTCTCCCTCCGCCTTTACCATGGCAACGATTACACCACACCCTACCAGCCTGTTGACTACCCTGTCCAGGTCGCCCTGGGTAACAAGCTCTACTTCGAGGTTCGAATTTGGAGTGAGCCTGGACTGGAGCTGTTTGTGCAGACGTGTCGCGCCACGCCTTCCTCCAACTCAGATGATTTCCATCGTTACACTTTCATCCAAGACGGGTGAGCTAATGGTTTATATGAGTAAATAAAATAGGGTCATGTGCATCCTTACAACTAGAGCATGTTCAGGATCACTCAGACAAACTACTTGTTCTTCTGCCGAGGTATTTCTACCAACAGAGTTAGTTTGTGGTATCAGGGAACGATTTTTGTGTGCTATATGTCTTTGAGTTCATGTATACTTAAATACATATAATCAACAAAAGTCACACACCGACAAGCACAATCATAGCCCCCCTTCCCCCACTGCCCCCCTTCCCCCACTTTCCCCCTTCACCCCTCCCCCCCCCCCACCCTTACAAAAATATCCCTTGGAGATTTCCCATGGGATCGCCATGGAGATTTCCCATGGGATAACCATGGAGAGTTCCAATGGGATCGCCATGGAGATTTCCCATGGGATTGCCATGCAGATTTCCCATGGGATAACCATGGAGATTTCTCATGGGATCGCTATGGAGATTTCCCATGGGATAACCGTGGAGCTTTTCCATGGGATCGCCATCGGGATTTCTCATGGTGGTCCATGAGGGTTTGAACCCATGTACCCATGGGTTTCCCATGTAGCAAGGGATTTTTCATATAGAATGTTTCCGATGGAATTTTTACTGTGAGGTTATTCCCATGGATAAAATGGTGTCCATGGGTCACCAAAGCAGGGTTTTTTAAGCTGTGAATGGTGTTCCCATGGGAAACCATGTTGTTTTAAGAGGCCACCATGATGTTGTTTAAAGATACCACCATGAGAATCCTTATAATTCCCAAGTGTTTCCCATTGGGTCCCATGGAGATCCAATGGCATCGCCATGGGACATTTTTGCTAGGGCCCCACACCCAGGAATCAACAATAGAAATCAAAAGGCTTCTATACATGTTTCTGAACAAAATGGATATCACCTCATTTTCAGAGTCTAGTTAAGTACAGGCATTTTGTTTTAGCTTTTTTTTTTAAATGTGGGCTAGGAAGTTGTGGTACCCTGTGCTTCCTTTGATTCTACTTATGAATCACAGAGAGAAACAATTATGACCTTCTTGATCTTTTGCCCAAAAGTGCAATTGACATTTAGAAGATCCTTTATTTTCAATTAAACTGTCACAGAGTCTTCAAGACCACCCATTTTGCTGTTCTTGTATCTAATTTTTATTGTGCAGGTGCGCTGAGGACAACACAGTGATGTTCCATCCATCAGACGACCCGGACGTAGAACGTTTTGAGATTGATGCCTTCACATTAGTAGATACCCTACCTCAGCCGGTGGTAGGTGTTACATTTCCTTGAGGTATAACAATTGTGCATGAACTATAGCGGGCGCTGTATAGCAATGCAGCTAGGTCACAAATGAAGAGTGCCTATGTTGTTTGACCTATACTGTGCATATGTTGTACTGAAGTAGAGTTGGAGTGGTTTTACCAATCAAATCTTGTAAGGCTGGGCACATAGAATGAAAACCTAATTAGGTATAAGAAAAATATGCATCAATTAAAGAGGGCGCTGTATAGCAAAGCAGCAGGGTCAAAAAATGAAGAGTGCCTATGTTGTTTGACCTGTACTGTGCATACATGTATGTCGTACTGTAGTAGAGTTGGAGTGGTTTTACATAGCAATCAAATCTAGTAATGCTGGGCACATAGAATGAAAACCTAATGGAGCAAGTTTCTTTGGAAGATTCAAAAGTAACTTGTTTGTTTTTTTTGCCAATATTCCTATATTAATGATTAAGTGCGCATACTATACTGTACATCTGTTGTACTGACAGATAGTGTGCAAAAAAGCAACAATCAGAGAAAAGAAAAGAAAAACATGTTAATAAAACTGCTTAATGTTTTTTTTCCTTTAACCCTCCCTTTGCTTAAGAGGTCACCAATGGTCAAAATTTTCTTCCTCACTTCCTGGCCTACTGTGTACAAACCAATGGGGGTCTTGACCAATATTGACCCAAGTAATAAGCAGGCAGACAATGCATGTTACCATAGGAGGGTTAATGCAATTAAAGCCTGACAATGTTTTCAATCTTACATTCCATTTGGGTCCCTAGATCCAGAAATACAATCCATTATTGAAAGGGTGAACATTTTACTGGGGACATTCTTATCCGTGATGTCACCAACTTCAATGCCTATCCAATGTCTATTCAATCATTTTAAACCCAGATTCAGCATGTCAAGGAGTTGATTGAGAAATAGTCGGGCTATAATGTTACATTATAAAATTTCATTGAAGAAAAAAAAACCAATCAGTTTTAATTGTTTGTTTTCTGAATTGTGCACTTTTTGCTACATATATACTTACAACAGAGATGGAATAAGTGGCTGGGCACATATAAGAAAAATCAAATAGAGCAAGTTTCATGTTGTTCTTTGGTTCATGGAGGATCCAAATTTTAAGTTAATTGAGTTTGTTACACTATGTTCTTATTCATAAATTCTCCCATTTACTCTGACATTGACCTGCAGTTGCATGTTAGTTACCACTGGTCAGCAAAAACATTTAGTAGCAGATGCATGATTTCAAAATCTCAGTGGGTTCAGATGTTAAAAGTCCAAGACCTTCAAGGGGGAACTGAGGACTGTAGTTGGTGCACATAGCGACAAATGACCATTTTCCAGCCGAATACTAGGGGCATAGGTGTTGTAGCTTAATGTCTAAAGTATCATCTAAATTCAAAAATCCGTTCTTTCCCTTATAGGTGTACGTCCATTGTGACATGGTTCTGTGTAACTCAACTGATGCATCCTCGCGCTGTGCCATCGGATGTCCAACTACAGCGTGTGTCAATAAAAACGCAGGATTCAAAGCGATTTTTTTCTGAGAAAATTATGCTACTGGTGTGCCTAATTTGATAAGGATTTGATTGTCCATAATGTCATCTTTGACAAGATTTTTGTTTGGTGGAATTTGGACTTTTGGTTCAAAAGTTAGGACAAGTTTTGTGAAGCCCTTTTGAAGCGGGTTGGTCTGATTCAATGACCTTAACACAACGACCAGTTATGTACATGTACAATGCATGTATGCATTGAAGACAATTAAACCAGAACAAAACTTTCTTTGAAACAACTGATGATAAGTATCACTTAAATTTAATAACTGGACTATCATTGTTTCAAAGCATCATGAATTATTGACTAATAACATTGATTGTGGACTAAAGGATTATGTAAGCCTAATCCTGCCACACATGTCCTTCTTTGTGATCCACAAATACTTTCACCTGTACTGAATTCAAACCTTTCATTAGGTATGTGTGATTTCACAAATCAGACCAGCTTCGAATTTATAACCCTTCTTCAATGTACTCTATCTCTGGACAGGATTGTCCAAATGAGATGGGATAAAAAGCATAGTGAAGAGAAGGAAAGGTACTTTGAAAAGAGGGTTAACATTATGATGAATACGGGTGGTTTATATTCTTAATATTTTTGTTTCTAATCCTGCGTTTTTATTGACACACGCTGTAGAAGCATGAACTTACTCTCTGGTGTGCACAGACGCCATGCCAGATCTGTGTCTGGTTCCGCGCTTATGCCATTACGCAGGGACCCATATCTGTGATAAAGGATGGGGAGGAAGGTAGGGAAAGGAGGAGGGTTGGCTATGTGACATGACTAGGCTGGGAGTGGGTGTAAGTGTTAGTCCAAAAGTTTTGGACTCTCACTACTGGGTGTTATAGTGCCAAATTGTAAGATAGTAAAACATGCAATATAAGAAAACAGCCTGCCACATGAAACAACTAGTCCACGACCCCTTAAGTACTGCATCAATTGACTGTGTCAACATAAAGATCTGGTACCTGGTCTTTTTCTACACATTCTCTATTTCTACACATAGTCAGGTAACCAGAGTTAAAGGGAAAATACAACATTTGCAAACATCAAAAAATAAAACTACCAAATCATTTTTGAAATACCTTGCTGGACTATTAGTGAATGACAGTGTAAAGCATCCTGAAAAATCATGGCACCTGGTATACTGTCATTTTCAAGAAAAGTGGTATTTTTGTATCAATTTCCAACGCTGATCGGCCAATCAGCATTCGAAAAAACTTGCCTTTTTTTCAAATACTGGCCCCAGTTGACCATCGCACTTGTTTGCAATCGATTACAGTCGACTCCCGTTATAACGAGCTCGGTCATAACGATAACCTGGATGTAACGAGCACATTCTGCCAGTCCCGATCAATTTGTGTACATTACTATGGGGAAATATTTGGTTATTACGTGCACGGACATAACGAGACTTCGGCTATTACGACGATTTTGGCTGACCCAATGCGAGGAAAAGCATTGTTCTCAAACCATTTACAACGACATCTTTTCAAAACTACGGGCATTGCAGCTTGTCAACGACAGACCTTTTGTCCCGAAACGGGTATCATGCTCCCGTCTTCCCATTCAAGCAACACACTTAAGCTTCACCCATCAATGTACCTTTGTAAAGACTTCAACCCAACGTTATTTCATCTCGCCGATCTTTATAAATAAATTCAATGGGACTGTGATAATCGGCGCAGTGGACCGCTGGTCTAGTCGCTAATCCCCCGCTGCGGTTTCCCTTAGCGTGACCAGGTTTGAAGTTTGCTTACGACTGCGGTACCACGTTTCTATATTATTACAAACTAACAATAGGGGGCGCTCAGGAGTTAAGTGTTAACATTGTAAGGAATAGCCTTTAGTACTACCGCCCGAACATCGGGTGCGTAATTGCTCCCTATTGTTGGCTTGTGGCTATAAAAAAAAAATACGAAGTAAAGAACACAGCATCACAAAACAAACGGCTCTTTTCAGAGCCACCACATCTTCCAAACAGAGATAATTCAGTCTGTCTTCAAAAAATAAAGTTTAAAACATACCGTGTTTCCCACCCCCAAAAAAGAATCCGAAGAATAAAAAAATAAAAATCTTAAACAAATTAAGAACCCCTCCGGCCCCGCCGAAAAAACAATCCCAATGAAAACAGGTTTCCAAGATCTTCAAACGCCCCACCACATATACATTGTACAAATTTTAATCCAAAATTATTACTTTTGTTTATTTATTATTATTATCTTAAAAGAATCCCTCCCGACAAATAATAATCACCAATTGCTGCGAAATTACACATTTAGACACTTAAACCCGGAAGTAATATTAGCGCCCTCTCTTGCCCGATTCCAGCAAATGCAAAACGAAAGCAAAATGTCACTTGGTACGAATGTGCGCTATAGTTAACCGAAATAATTACAATTTCAAAGAATCCCTTCAGAAACAATAATACCCAACTGTTCCAAAAAGTCAACAACCAAAAAGCATCTAAGGATCAGGAGTCATTAAAACCCGGAAGTAATGCATGTATTGGCGCCCTCTCTTGCCCGATTCCAGCAAATGCAAAATGAAAGCAAAATGTCACTCGGCACGATTTGTGCGAGTGACCTACTTGCCTGATTCTTCTCAGCGATGATGCCTTTTCCTCCGGATTCAGGTCCTCAAATATTGAACAATGTTCCCTCAAAGGTATTTTATTTATTTCATTTATTCATCACCATCAGTTAAATATTTAATATACATTATTAACAGACGTACATACCAACAAATGACCATCTTTTCATGTCTTCGGACGTGCGTTACACGATTAAAACACGCACGCACATGTACCGTACCTTGTGCACAACGAATGGGGAAAACTGCGCTCCGGTTTTAGCGAGGTTCCGGCTATAACGACAGTATTGTGAAAGTCCATCGGACCTCGTTATAACGGGAGCCGACTGTACACACCTATGAACGGGTACAAGCCAGCTACACTGGTTCCCTGATCTTACAATTCCCCAATGTATGTAAACTGCTCTGTTTCTTCTTAAATGGAGTCAGGGAACCAGACTACAGGAAAATGATTGTTTTTCTTGGTTTTTATAGCATTTTCGAACCCAAAACCTCAAAAAAGTCAGTGTAACTATATTTGCTATATATTTCCAACCCCCCAATTCCATCCATTTCTGAAAATTACAGCAAAAGCAAATGATGTATATTCCCTTTTATCATTAAAAAACAAAAACCAGTTGAACACGTATCAGTCTAGCCTTACCCTTTGGCTTCAAGATGAATTGAAATCACTGGGCTGCACTCTCAGGCGAAAACTGTTCATTCTCAGGTGCAAAGTTTCCTTTTAACTTCAATTGAGACCTTAAACTTGGCTGGTGAAATACTGAGAACCTATAGTCTTTGCCTCATAAGAATTTTGGAGAATTTTGTCAGCTAAAGAGTCAGTATGTAAGTCAGCCCTAGTTTATTTTGCATTTTTTTCTGCACTCAGGGTCCAAGTCTGGTGTAGTATATGCGGAGTAGTAGTGAGTGGGATAGGGAGGGGCAGAGAGATAGGGTGGGTGACATTTGGTAGGTTGGGATGGGGTTGGTGGGATGGGGTTGGTGGGGTGGGGTAGGCTGGGATGGGGCAGGGTGTAAGGTGAGAGTAGTGAGTCATTGGATGTGCTGCAGGGATGGATAGATTGGAAGGGTTAAGGGAGTGATTTGGTAGGGATGGGTAGGATTGATGTTGGTGGGTATGTTAGGGCAGGATATGTGTAGGTGGGAAGGGTAGTGTGCAATTAGACCGGGTGTGGTGGGCCGGATGGGATGGAGAGGAAGTTTTAGGGAGGATTAGGCAGGGACTGTAAGTGTTGTGGAGTAGGATATAATAGTTCAGATGGGTAGAATGGGACATGGTGTGGTGGGTTGGTATATATGGGGATAGAGAGGAAAATATAGGGAAGGAATGGGTATAGGGAGGAGTAGGGTACATGGTATAGGGTACATGGGATAAGATGGTATGCAGTGGGACTGTGTGCGTGGTGGACAGGGTGTGATTGAATGGAAGGTGGGGGATTAAATGGAAGGAAGAGAATGCGAATAGGAAGAATTAGAGTTGTTGTAGGGAATAGGGTGGTGGAATAGGGTACCATGGAGTGCATTGGGTGTGGTATGATTGGGATGTATGTAGTGAGAATGGAAGTTTGTTTCTGCATTCAATAGAGGACAGAAGGGCCCACAGTTCCTAAGAGGTCCCCTATTTGGATTCGTGTACAAAACATATGGGAGGTCTTCCTAAAATGTTAGGGTACAGACAAAAGAGGGACAATAGAGGGTCCCCGATTGCAGGCAAATACACACTTAGGTGTGTGATTTGTGTCTAATGTAATTGGGGTGGATATTCGGGGATGGTCAGGTTGGGATGGACAACGATGGGTGGGGTTTAAAGGATGTGCCAACAATTCAAAATATGTGCATTACTGTTGAATAGGTTGAGTCAGATATTGGCATTTTGTGTTAAGTTCCTGCTTAAAAAATATTAGCATTTGTACATGTTTGTTTGTTTCTCAGAAGGAAGTGAGATGTCGTCTGTTCAGTTGCCAATCCTTCTGACTACTGTCTGCCTATTGGTTGGCTGCGTGCTGGTACTCGGCACACTGATTGTCGTGATGCGTAAACGCACCCAACGCCTTCAATTGTACTCGCCACTGGCCACTGAAGAAAACTAGTTTACAGGAACTGTCTACTAGCCTGAGTTCATCAAAGGAAATCATTTATCCATATTTCTCAATTATATTTGAAGAAGATTTAAGAGAAATTCAGAACAATTTAAGTAAACGTTTATTATGCTGTTAGGCATGGGTGATATTCAATAGAATTTTTTTGTAATGCAGCACAATTATACACAGTGCAGTCCGTCAGTTCAGTTGTCCTTAATTTCAATATTAACACATTGTATTCAAATAAAAATAACTGGCTAATTAGAGTAGTAAGCATATATTTTGTCTTCAAGCTCATTTGGCAAAAACTAATCAGTTTCGATAATTGTGACTAAAAAGTTTTTAATTTAGTTTTTTCCCCAATTTTTCCTATTATTACCAGTAGGAATGTTGCTAATTGCCCGGAAATTAATGCATATGCCCTGCCGATTCGGTGCGAAAAAAACTAGCTCAAAATTGTTTATTTGAGTGACCCACGTACGCACCCTTAATGAAAATAAATGAAATTTGTTTCATCAGCAATGTTGCGGACATTTTTTTAGAAAGTTAACCAAAAAATTGCTGTTTCATAATTATGGTTTAACCATTAATTTGTCAAAAGCTTATTACTCACGGCCATCTCAGTGTCAATTGCTTAGCAATTAATAGATAAATAAAGAGTTGAGTTGATGTTGTTGCAAATGTCGTTTGAATGCTTTCTTTTGATTTTCTATGTTTAAATTTAAGAACATTTGTGTGTGTGTATTTTTCACGAATAAGTCGTTTCCTAGAGGGGGGCAAAGCACATTTTCCCCAAAAAATCCCTATACTTTTTCAGCATATTCTTTATTTATCATTTTCAAGGGTGGGCAAGAAAATCCCCCCCAACCCATTAAATTAACACCGATATGACTTCGCCCCTATTTTTTGCCTTTGTTACGCCTCCTTTTTGTATATTTTTTTTTGGCTTGCCCCCCCCCCGGGCTACCCCCCCCCCCCTTCCTCGCGACGCTCATGCATGTGTGTACCTGAACGCTAACCTTGCATTCATCCCCTCGGACTTGAATATATGTTTAATCCCCCCCCCCCCTTTCTTTTTATCTTGCCCAATTTCTGAATTCCCAGCCGGCCAGAAAATATCTTCCCAAATGTTTTGTTTTGTTTTCTTGCGAACTTCCCCCCCCCCCCCCTCCTTAAAAGAGTCATCCACCGCACTTCACTCGAAACAACGCTTAATTGCCTCAATTATTCGACATATGAGCACTGATCCTTATATAGTGATCAGTGCATATGCATGAGACTTTAGCACATGTAACCAGTCTATTTTGTGTACAGTAGGGGCACCGTCGATTACGTGCTTTCGGTTAATTAATATTAAAATACCATGTTAAAATTATAATCTTCAATTTTAAAGCCTGACATTTTTGAAAGTGCCGTTATATTTTTTATACTCTTAGTGAAACTTCAGTTTTACAATTAGTTTGGAGGTCTTCAGCTCTATAATAAACTAAGTTTTGGGCCGAGCCTAACTTTCCTATGCAACGTACTTCGCCATGGCCTAGCCGTGCGCGCATACGTGCGCACGTGCAAAACTTGCAAGCATCGGGCCTTTGCAGACGTACCGTAAGTTTCACTTTTGTCGTTCAGTTGTTGGCAGTGTTCAATTTGTGGACGCTACTTTTTGAGTTCATGTTATCTGAACATGCAGGACATTTCTTGAGTATCAAATGTGAATGAAATCCGTTGTTTTGAACGGATTTTTGTGGTTGGACTTATCGAGAAAGTTCTGCACATGAGTTCGTTCACGTACATGACGTACGTGAGCTGCTATTGTGACTCGACGACAATTTCGTGTATTGTGGATCCAATGGCTCTCTCTTGAGCGGAAAAGAATGTTGCATTCTGACGCCACTTTTTTCAATGAAGGTCAGACATCGAACAAATGTTGGTTATACATGAATCTGGGCCTGAAAAAAAAAATCCAGCTTTGTTGGAGAATACTTTGAAAATATACTCTAATCAACTCTCCATAGACTGTGTAAACAATCGAAGAAGTGGCGTCTGGATACTACATTCTGTCCCTTTTGTTTTGTTTTACAAAATAAAGAGTGTAGTTTAAATACAGGTGATTATTTTCCATTCCAACACCCAGTAAATATTGTTGAATACCCAGTTCCAGCCATTAAAAAGGGCTTAGTAAAATGAAGAACTAAATACCGGTACCCACTTTTCAATTGTGAATATCGCGTAGTACAGGCTAGCGATAACCCGCAATGTGTTTTGAATAGGGTCTTAACTTCCTCCGTCATTGTGATGCAAGCAAAATTTCTTGAAAAGTTGATTCCTCAATTTGAAATCGAAGCTTAGTTCGATTCCTTACCTCTAGACATGGGCGTCGCGAGGGGGGGGGGGGCAAAGGGGGCGCTTGCCCCCCCCCCCCCCCCGGAAAAGCAACAACAACAAAAAAGAGAAAAAAACAACAGAAAAGAGGCGCGAAGTCATAGTGATGTAAACTTAATCGTAATCCTTATCTTTAGGACACCTCTATTTTTACGAGTTCTGTTCAAAAACTGACTTTTGCAGGTGACTTTCCAGTACCAAAGTGACTTTTACAGGCTAAAGCAGTCTTGTTTCTTCAGATAAACTCATGTTAGTTGTAATTTTGAAAGCACTTTCAAAGAAAATGTGACTTTTCTACCTTTTTTTGCAGTTCACCATCTTGCTTTTTAAATATATTTTCTGTTTGTCATCGTCATCTTTAACCCCTCATATATCAAAGCCCTACCCTCTTTCTACAAAATTGAACCTGCTGATATTCAAGAAGGTGTCATTTGCATTGGTTGAAATGTGTCAAAAATATCAGAATGTCACTTTTGAGTGTCATTTAGACAGCTGTTTTGGTGAGTCCCTTAACTTTAGGACCCCCGTTCCTATACGGGGTCCTAAAGGTAAGGATTACCAATTTAATGAGTGGGGGGGGGGGACAAATGTCCCTGCCCCCTTTAAAACCTAGAAATCGAGAATATGTTGAGAAATACAGGAAATTTTTGGGGAAAATATATTTTGCCCCCCCCCCCTCTAGAAAACAATCCTGGCGACGCCCATGCCTCTAGACGTCTTGTCACTCTCATGGGGAAATTTGGAGAATTCGTCTAAATATGTCTGCAGGCATTTGTTTTCGAGGTCATGGGTCAGGCATCTTTGAACTTCTAGTTTTAATAAAATACAGGGACCGACACAAAAAGCTAAAAGGAAATGTGTTTCGTTTCCACTGACCTCGTACAACTAGCCCACGAAACCGTAATCATTTGACAATTGAATGATCAAGAGACAAATTCAGGATATACCGGAAACTGCTGCCTTATTTTTGTATTTCAAATACTTGAATTACTCAGCGATGTGCTGAATGATTGCAGTAATGTTTCGACTTCAATATAGGGCACCTGCTCTTCACGTCTGCATTTTCCAGCGAGTTTGGTGGGTTTTTTTCTTGGCTTTCAGCATGTGACTGCGGATCTCCATATTGTTGAGTAAATCTTTGAAGTCGCTCATGTCTCTTAGCAGAACCTTTAGTACTTCAGCGGTGGGAAAATGAATATTTTTTGTTGTTTATACATAGCTGTAATGCTAACCTTTTATTCTAAACAAGTTTTCACAATAGATCGTGCACCTGGGCAGGCTGACAGGGGTCATGGGGTCATTGTGCGAGACGCGCGTGTATAAGTTGCTACATACTTTCGTGGGCTTGGAAGACTCTCTTAATAAAGGCAAGAGAGAGGGCACTTGCTGGTTGTTGGACAGGAAACATTATAGGAAAACTGTTGTTTGGAGGAAAATAAAAGCGAGGAGCTGTTCCCTTGAAGTTGAACCAAGCTGCTGATACAACCCCTTGCTTTTCTTCCTCCACAGGATCAGGAGATTTAATTAGGCAGTCTTTGGCAGTGCGATGTTTTATTATAAACAACCACACAGCTGCTTCAGCACCAAAACGTTGCCAGAGTTTCGGATTTTTTTGTTGTGGTAAGTGTTGTGCTTTTGGTGATTCATTGTTGTTTCAGTTGTGAAATTCAATCAATGAGCAAACGAACTTAATGCACAAATAACTTCACTAAGCAATCTCGGGTTCATAATTAACAGTGACCTTCATAATGAAACAGGTGTGCCGTAAAATTAATCACAGCAACATCACTCTTTGTTGTAAAGAAAAGCATTGAACACTTCGATGTTAAAAAAGTGCACTTTAAAAAAATATAAGCAAATATCACAGTTGGAAATTTGGACACAATATTTCAATGTAAAATTACGTGGTTATTTTGTGAATCCTTGTCGTTTAATAGTTCCCTTGTCGATCATCATATTCTTAAATATTTTATTTTTTAGAAGTCGGCGTAATAGTGTCCATTGTCAAACTTTTTCTTGTACATGTAGTTGGGGTCCTTTTGTGACATGACTAGTTAGACTGCCAGCAATTAACAGTACGGTGCAAGGCTTATCCATTGTTATGTTCCTATAGAGTTCTTTAAAATGTGCTTTGGTCACTCAACCGTAACATAAGTGGACTAGGTATTGGCAAGGAATGACCATTGAATTTTCTTCCGACATCTCCCTTTACTGTAGTTCTTTGAATTGAGTTTCTTCTGTAATTTCGTCAGCCAAGCTGGGTATGTATGTACAGAACTACCTCGTATTTAGTACAGGACAGCACATTGTGGGAATGACCAAGGAATGGAGCATGGCCCGGATCCTAAGGTACGCTTTTTGTTTCATTAATTTGTCTGGTATTTTCTAATTGATTGGCTTTTGTGTGTAATTTATTTCTTTGTTCGGAGTTGGATTTACACTAGGCACGTAATGTGAGCTGATTACAATGCATATTGCCACGAATGCGGTGCTGAAATGTATTGACAAACAAATTCAAAATTAATGTAATAAACTGTGCATCTTTTGTATTTCTGTACAAGCTGATTGGATCACCGAAACTCAAGAGTAGTTTTAATAGTTACAATGTTGTATTTTGTTGTTGTTGTTGTTGTTGTTGTTGTTGTTGTTGTTGTTGTTGTTGTTGTTGTTTTTAGCTATTTTACAATTGAAAAGTCAGACTTTTAACGTGATTTTAGACAATGGGAATCAATAGTAATATTCAACAATTCCCCATAATATGTTTACAGTTGGTGTCAAACTGATTTGCTATCATAGTTAAGAGCAAAGTATTAGCTCCACACTGCATTCAAACAAACAGTAAAAGTGTCCAGACTATTTCGTGGGATCTGGCCAAACTACTTAGTGACTTATCTTTATATTCAAAATCAAGGGTGGCAAATATAACCACTTGTCTTCCGCACCCAATAATGATAATGATTGTGTCATCGCTGGTACACAAGCCCGATTGAAATGAAATACTTGCAACACTTGTCTGAACCATTTATATTTCAAGAGATATATGCATTGCAGAAGTGAACCGTTGACTGAAAGGTCGCATCACGTGACCACAACATTAACATTTGTAAACAAATTGTACATGGTCTATTGGTACGGATGTTCACTACACCTTGCCAATGTAGAAACAAGTCGAAGTCGCAAAAAAGCACACTGTGGATGCAGCTCGAAGATCAAGTTTATATGTTTATTAAACTATTATTATGAATGAAGAATCTTAGTATCAATACCAATGGACAACTATATGCTTAAATACATTAATACAT